AACAAACACAATACGAAAATAATATTTAATAAGAATAAGTTAGAATAAAGAGTTTGATGCAGTAGGTGCTAAAGGTGAGTAGCTAAAATAATGAAATAGCTTTAATCTGACTTAAAATTTGAAGAGTTTGGTGTGAATGCACTTAGAGTTAGAGATACAAACATTTGGACGGTTCATGTGATTTCAAAATGTTTACATTCGACCTATAGCTTAGAGTTAGAGACTAACATTATCATGACCCGAACCCACCCCCATGGATTAAGGACATAACCGGCCGGTAATCCTGAAATTACCTACGGCCTCAAACCAAATCAGACATAACTCATCAGAGTAAAGGGGCCAAACGGAAGCAGAATTTAAAACTTTATCCATAGAGCTATGCTTACATGGCACATCATAACAAACCATACATAAAGATATTAATAACTCACATCAGACAATACAGTAGCATAAAGTTCTATATAGACAGGATCATTCAAGTCTAGGTCAGCTGTGGGGAAGTGGTTTGGAAATACTCTTCAGATCTTGGGAGACGCTAGTGATCCTCAGCTAGTCACCTGAAAAGAGACAAACACTCCGGTTGAGGGTGCCGGAATTAGCACTCCGACGGACAAGTTAGTTCAGACACTCAAGATAGCTTGTTTACTAAGTTAAGCAAAAAGTGATTGTTACATACCTTTCTAAATCTGTGGTTCTTGTATTTATACTTGCTTTTTGGGCCTTGGGGCCTGAGCCTACTTTTATCCCATTCCCCTTTTATTTATTCGGAGCTACTGATCTCCAGCTATTCGGCCTTCCTAACGTATTCGGCATCCTAGTGACGCAATATGGAGCCGAATAATATCTGATTTCTAGGGTACGCACCTTCCGACTCTTCTGTTTATTCAGCTCCCACAATTTCCCCCCAAGCATTTTACCAACGACAGTTTGGCTGGAGTGCTTGGTTCTGAATTTTGAAAAGTCAAAGCCAAAATTCGGCGGTTGGCCTCATCCTTATGCGGATATCTTAGTGCACCCCTTTCGGTTGTCGTGTCGACTTCCCGCCCCCTCGTACGTGTCTATTTATTGCGATTTAAAATTTTGACGTCCTTTCGAGTATGTACTTTATGATGCTCGTCGTTGGATTGCCTTTTGAATCCTCCCTGCAACTCCCTTCTCCGATATCCTCTTCGTCCTTTGTAAGTTCTCTCTTTCCTTTCTTCGAAGACTCTTTCTAGTTTATTCCTCCCTTGGCATATTCTTATAAACTGTAGGGTTTAGCGAAACATTTAAAAGACCTTCTCTCGTCAGATCGAATTGCTGGCTTTAAACGCCATTTCTCCATTCCTGATGATGTACGTCCGTCGTTTGTGGCAAACGGCACTCTTGATATGGAGAGGGAGGACAGAAACACGGTTGTCTTTCCTCTTTTGTCAATCGCAGACGGTGGAGTCCGTTTTCCCCTTCACCCGTTTCTTAGGGTTGTGCTTCGCCATTGGGGTTTAATTCCTTTCCAATTCAATGTGAATTTCTTTAGAATTATAATGGGGGTTATAGCGCTCAACCGTCGCCTTAGAATTAACCTTGGCATTCCAGCCATCCGGCATTGCCATGCCTTGGCTAAGGCTTCTAGTCGGAACGGGCATTTCTTCCTTAGGGCCAAGGATATCGACCATCAGCTAATTACTATGCTTTCCAGTTCTGGGAAACGAGTTGATGATGTTATGGTCGTTGTCTAGGGTAATTGGGAATTTGGCGAAGGGGAGGATCACGTCAACCCTATTCCTAGACGGAGGGGCGAGCCAGGTGGCTGATTGCCTTCTCGCTTTTATTATTTGTTCATTTTTATTGTTATGCCTCTTCTTTGAAATGTTACGGCTTGGCTTGTGCATGGAACGATTTGAAGAAAGTCCTGTCTTCGACTGACGACACCGTTCTTTCGGATATCAAAGTCGAGCTCAAGTATTTCGGCCGTCGAAGTCTTCAGAAACAAGGGAGGGCGGCCCACGTTCTACTTCGTTACAAGCCGACATAAACGACCTTCTCGGCGGCGAAAAATATCCCGGTTCCGGAGGGTGAAGATTCTCTTATCGCTCTTATTTTGTCTGACTTCAAAAACTTGAGGCAGGTTGGTTTTGAAGGGTCTGATTTGGAGCGGGATGTAGCTAATGTTACCGAATCAGATCAGTACGAAATCGAGTCTGACGAGGTATTGAATTCGGCCGATCCTCCATCCACTTCGGGCCGAGGGAATCTTTCACTTGACGGCATTTTTAATGGCTTAAAGGATCCTCCCGCCGCAGGCCCCGAAGACATGGCCGGGTTAAGCCTGACAAAACTTGCCAGGAAGGCAAATGCGGAAAGGTTGGCCGCGTGGCGAAGAGCGGAGGCCCTTCCGTCTGAAGTACCACTCGCCACTGTATCTCAACTCTCTCTGCCTGTTAGCGAATCAGAGTCCTTGTACATTATTGAGGTGGAGACGGCAAAAAATCAGAATGCCGAATCTACTTTAATCGTGCAGGCCGACCAAGAAGTTGAGGATGAGGCAGAGAAACGCCCTGCTGAGTTTGAGGTCGGCTCAGAAGAACAAGCCGGCAAATGTCCTCGATTAGAGGGATCGAATGTGATTGTTCCTTTTGTCATTTAGCCTATGATAAAAAATAGGCCGGTTTTTTCTGATGCTTTGGCGCTTAAAGATCTAGAAGTCGCATTCAGTTTGTCTACGTCTGTGTCGTTGCCGTTTGACAGGGAGGCTTTCCAGGTGGAACCAGATCTGAATGTGACAGCACTAGCCGCCCAATTGGCACTTTTGGTACATATTCGGACTTTGCTTCACTTAATCCAAATACTGTTGAAGTTATGGTTTTAAAATCTTGTTTTGCAGACCGTCAGAAGGATAGCCGATATGGGCTGTCGCCATCGCGACGCCGTCAAACAGATTGGTCGTTTACGAAAGAAAGTTGAGGGCCAGAGGAGAAGGGTCGAGGTCGAAGCTTTGAGGGTGAACAAGGAAGCCTCAAGGGCCGAGGCCAAGGCGGAGAGGGCTCGAAGGGCAGATCAATTGAGATCGGATGCCGAGAAGGAGGCGGACGCGAGCGAAGATGCACTCAAATTGGCCCAGAAGGCGGTCTCCAAACTAGAGGCTGAGTTGGCTGAAATGAAGGCAGCGAAGGAAACAGCCGACTCGGAGGCTTCCAAAGTATTCGAGGCCGTGAAAAATGCTAGACTCGCCGAGTATTTGGACCAAGTCCCAAGTTTGAAAATCAGGGATTCAAACATGGCTGACATAAAGCCCTTGTTGCTGCTAAAGTTTCATTGATTATGCCAATACCATAAAAGCAAGTGGATGTTGAGCCATTAGAGTCTGATTCCGATGACTAATCTGGGCGACTGACGTAGTTTTTAGGATGTCGAATGTATTTTTACAGTTTTTAATTTGGTATTTTTCATGTGTTGCTACAGTCGTAGTTTTTTGCTAGGCATTTTCATGCGGGCTTGTAGCTTTTTGTTTAGTAATTTGTGTATATAAAATTTCATGAGTTTTGCTCAACTTGCTAAGGAAAATGTTGTTGATGAATGATATTGCTTTTGGTTATGGTTAGATCGGCTGCTTAGGTTAGGTATTTGGACGACCAGATTAGTAAATCTGCCCTTGCCTTAGCCAGGGCACGATCTTGCGAAGCCGAATGGGCCTAACTCATGGGCTGGCTGAGGCACAGATTGATCAGCGCTTGTGCTTGAAAACATGGCCAACCAGATTAGTAAATCCGCCCTTGCCTTAGCTAGGGGGCGATCTTGTGAAGCCGAATAGGCCTAACTCGAGGGATGGCTGAGGCACAGATTGGGAAGCCGAATCTTGGGAAGCTGAATGGGCCTAACTCGTGGGCTGGCTGAGGCACAGATTGATCGGCGCTTGCGCTTAAAAACATGGCCGACCAGATTAGTAAATCTGCCCTTGCCTTAGCCAAGGCACGAGCTTGGGAAACCGAATCTTGGGAAGCCGAATGGGCCTAACTCATGGGCTGGCTGAGGCACAGATTGATCAGCACTTGCGCTTGAAAACATGGCCGACTAGATTAGTAAATCTGTCCTTGCCTTAGCCAGGGCGCGAGCTTGCGAAGCCGAATGGGCCTAACTCGTGGGCTGGCTGAGGCACAGATTGATCGGCACTTGCGCTATTAAATCAATTTAGAGTATATTTAGAGTTGTCTTCTCTACCATCTTTTTATTAAATCAATTTACTTTTGTATTTCTTTTTTATTGAAGTATCAGATTTAGACAATCAATATTAAAGCAAAATAAATATATATTTTTTTTTGGGTGGGTAAGTCATAAATTAAAAAACCAAAAAAATACACAGCTACAAGGGGCAAGCCCCAGGACCTAAACAAAACTATACAAAGAAAACCAACCCATGAAGAGCGGCTGGCCAAACGAAACAAACAAACTAAAAAACAACCAAACCTAAGAAGAGCAAACCAACCAGCTTTGGAATAGCCAGAGCTGATAATTGGATGGGATTAGAAACCAGTCAATTAAGCAACCAAGACTTCAAAGAAACATATGTAAATCACAATAACAACCAAAACCAGATTTAGAAACTGTGAATATGTTCATGAGCCCCATACCGACAATATGAGGACCACAAACACATACCATATGCTCCAAGATCTGAAACAAAACAAAAATAAAAAAGGGCCCTACACAACACGTAGGAAAAGGACAAATGAGGACTATCAAAAGAGTCACCATTACAAAAATATATAACGACTAATAGAAAAGAAAAACTTTCATCACTCTTGAGGCACATTGTGCAGCCATCAACTTTGTTGTCCACCATGATATCAACAGAGTAAGGAAAATGCAAATTTCTTCACTCTACAAGGGCTTCCCGCAACCATACAACATGTTACAGTGATTCCAAAGTTCAACAAACCAAGGAAAAAGGAATATGTTGACAGTAGGAGTTTCCAGCAGGTGTAACCATGCATCAACAAAACCCAAGGATGTACAGAGTAAATCTAAACTAGTTTTCCACAGCGTGCAGCAGACAGATAGTAGACACAAATTGCAGACATATCAGCACAAGCTATCTGTACAAAATCAAAATCAAAAAAAAAAACACTATCCTATTTAAGAACAACTAAAAGGGCTGGCGCATATATGTAGCCTGGCCCTCTAGAAGGCCTTCAAATAGACCCTACAAGAAACTGTGCACAGATCTATATCAAGACTCACTTTATGTGAGCTCACAAAGTCAACCCACATATAGGCACTCAAGCTCAGCAAAGAATAAATATAGCTTAGCACAGAGGAGAAGAAAAAAGAAGCAAAAAGCTCTCAAAAAATGTAGACCTCTCTTCACTCAACCCTCAACAAATAACTCCCCCACAAAAGTACAAGCTTTGTCACCTGCAGGCACAACAGTTAGAAACAGAATATAACTAGAATTCACATCACTCAACAACACTCAACCCACTTTCCCTAAGAATAGGCCAGCTTGACAACCTGCAAACAAACAGTTAATTAAGGAAAACTATGTAGTAGCTTACAGTCACTCAACCCTGGATATAGAGATCTTCAACCCACAAAACCTCCCCATCACTCCACACACAAAGACTTGGAAAGGCCACTATCAAGGATACCCCACCAGTAAAAAATAGAAATATATATACAGTATATCACAGTAAAGGGACTATTTTGAGAATAGAATCTGGCAATCTCCAGGTGGACAAGGTAACAACTTAAAAATATTAAAAATAGTCCCTTTACTGTGATATAGTCCCCTTACTGTGACTATTTTGAGAATAGAATCTGATATCCCCTTGAACCTGATCATATTAAAAATATTCAAGGTAACAACTTCTTCAGGGATTTTCTCTGTGGTGAAAATTCTATTATTCCTTTCAAGCCAAATGAGATAAACAGAGCAGGTGAAACCAAGCCTAGAAATTATGGAACCAAGAGACATACCTTTAACAGTTTTGCTAATATGAGAAACCAGGTCAGGCCATTGTATCACAGGCCAAGCCACATTTAATTTATCTTTCACATTTAGCCAAACTTTCTAAGATAAAGGACAATAAAAAAACAAATGGGAATGATTCTCAATATGGTACTGGCACAAAGGACAAGTAGCAACAGGGGAAATGCCAAAAAACTTAAGTCTATCCCCAGTGTTAAGTCTATTTTGAATGGCCAGCCAAGCAATAAAACTTCCCTTAGGGATGGACACAGCATTCCACAACAAATCAGACCAAAGGACCTTATCAAAAGAGAGCCTCCAAGCATTCCAAGCAGATTTGATAGAAAATTCCCCATTAGAAGATGGAATCCAAATAAGCTTATCACGCCCACTGCCAGGGATAAAAGTATGAGGAGTGGACTGAATCAGCTCACAGATATCCGCTGTATGGAAAAAAGGCCACTTCCAAGAGAGATTGGATATAATCCTACTAACCTTAGACTCCCCATTAAGAGCAGAATTATACATGATCCTTTCCCCAAACTTAGCCCAAAGAGAGCCAAGGGGGTGCCAATTGTCATACCCAAGGAAAATCCTTTGACCATCCCCAACAATATACTTCATGTGAGGATAAATAATGGGTCTAAGCCCCAAGATTTTCCTCCAAACCCAAGAGGAGTCTGATGGCACTTTGATTTTCCAGAAACTTCTACCCTTTAACAAATAAGATTTGACCCATTGACACCACATAGATTGCTCACCCCTAGAAAATAAGAACCAGGCATGCTTAGCAATAGTAGCCCTATTCCACACCTCCATAGATATGAGACCCAAGCCCCACTCCTTCTTAGGGGAACAAACCTTATCCCAATAGACCCTAGCCTCATGCTTCTTAAGATCACTCCCAGACCAAAGAAAGGATCCAAACAGACTCTCAATCTCTTTCACAACCTTTCTGGAAAGTATAAAGAGAGAGGCCCAATAGACTTGCATAGAGAAAATGATGGATTGGATCAGTTGCAAACTACCAGCATATGAGAGACATTTGTTGGTCCAGCTCTTAATCCGTTTGGTAATTCTCTCAACAAGTTGCTTACAATCACAGGCCTTAAGCTTAGACGCAATGAGGGGGACCCCAAGGTATCTAATAGGGAGGAAACCCTTAGGGAATTGCAAAATATTCATAATATCATCTCTTAACTTCTTCTCACACCCAGAGAAGAAGACATGGCTCTTGTTGGGACTAGGAGAGAGACCCGAGAGGGTTTGGAATTCGACAAGGCTCTTCTTAATAGCCCGGACAGTGAAGGTATCCCCTTTACAGAAGATCATAAGATCAACTGCAAAATAGAGGTTAACAATTTTAAACTTTGCACACCTCCAATGAAATTCAAGCAAGGGTGAGAAGACTTTTCCTACATGATTCTAGAGAGGATTTCCATAGCTAACACAAAAAGGTAAGGGGACATAGGATCCCCTTGTCTAAGACCCCTGGCCCCCTTAAAATACCACTGCAGACTCCCATTGATACAGATGGAAAAAGAAGGGCTGGTCATACAAGCCCGGATCCAGTGGATAAAGCAAGGAGGGAAACCCATAGCCCTAAGGACATCAATCATGAAATCCCACCTCACATTGTCATAAGCCTTTATGATATCCACTTTCATGGTACACCTAGGCGTAGAAGAATTCCTATGGTAACCTCTCATCAACTCTTGGGACAAAAAAATATTGTCCGAAATTCTCCTCCCTTGGACAAAAGCAGACTGGACAGGGTCAACAAGATCCGGAATGATCATTTTAAGGCTATTTGCTATGATCTTAGCAATACACTTATAGATGGTATTACAACAAGATATGGGCCGATAGTCCCCAAGTTTGGACGGGTTTGGAACTTTAGGCACCAAAGCAATCATGGTGTTGTTAATTTCCTGGAGAAGCTCCCTGGAGGTGAAAAAAGATTTAATAGCTGTGACAACATCCTTACCCACAACATCCCAAGCTTTCCTAAAGAAACTAGCAGGGAACCCATCAGGACCCAAGGCCTTATTCGCTTTAAGAGACCAAAAAGTATCTTTGATCTCCTGGTCAGTAACCTCCTTAGATAACATCTCAAACTGGGAAGAAGTAACTCTCCTATCAACAAGGGATTGTAACCTATCCAGCCCATTATAAACATTACCAAAAGGAGCGCCAAACAGATTAGAGAAATTCTGTACAAAAGCAGCACTAACATTTCCAAACTTCGAAAGCTTCTCCCCAGAATTAAGAGTAACACTGTTAATTTTATTCATATTAGTATTACCTTTCACATTCCTGAAGAAAAATCTAGTATTCCTATCCCCAAGACCAAGCCACTGAATTCTAGATTTCTGATGAAAGAGACCCTTCTCAACTTTACTCAAGTCAACATATTTACTATAAGCATCCCTCTCAAGGTTTTGAAGGACAGTATTCAGAGGGTCCTTATCGAGCTTGATTTGAGCATTCTCCAAAGTAGACTTAGCATGATTGACCCGGGTAGAAATCTCACTATACTCTCTCTTGTTAAAAGCCTTCAGAACAGGCTTGATGGCTTTCAACTTTTGGAAAATTCTAAACATAGGAGAGCCCCTCAAAAGCTTACACCATACCGAAGAAACACTAGGAATGAAATCCTCATGATCCCTCAAAAAATCAAAGAATTTAAAAGGTTTAACAAAACTCTTAGCTAGGGGGTTAAGATCAACAACACAGGGGAAGTCGTCAGAGATACCAGATGGCAAAAAAATAGCAGAGGAGTGAGGAAAGGTTGTGAGCCAAGATTCAATCACAAGAGCCCTGTCCAGCTTAGAAGTAATAAAGGCACCATCCCCTCTTTTATTGGCCCAAGTAAATTGGCAGCCTGTATGAGACAGATCAGTGAGCTCAGCAAACAAAATACAAGTGTTAAACTCCTCTTTAGGACCAATCCAGGAAGAGGAACCCCCAACTTTCTCAGTTGGGCATCTAATAGAATTAAAATCCCCCAAACACACAAGAGGTGAACAAGAACAATTAGAGGAAAGAGCAAGAATATCTTTGAACAAGGGAACCCTCAAAACATGTTTATTTTCAGCATACACAAAAAGACCATAGAGCTTGATATCCCCATCTAAAATAATGATTTTGCAAAAGATATACTGACTAGACATTTTAATGCATTGGATATCACAAAAAGTTGGGTCCCAGCAAACCCACACTCTAGCTTTTCCATCAGTTAGTGAATTAGACAAAAAACCCCAATTTGATAAAAAATTATCAAAAACTTTCTTTTCCCTAGAGGGTTTAATTTTTATTTTCAAAAGACCCATGACTTCGATATCATTTTTCAGCACAAAATTCCTCACTTCTTTTATTTTAGAGGATTCATTGAAACCTCTAACATTCCATGAAGCTATTTTAAAAATCATGGTAAACAAAAACAAAACACTAACTGATGAACATAGAGTACTTACCTCTTCTTCTTCCTCTGGTTGTTGGAATTACTAGAGGATTTGCCACTTGAAGTAACATCTTTCTGCCTAGCTTGCTTATGGGATGAGTTCATTTTGACAACCATAGATGCCAGTAATTCCTCCTCTGTTTCCAAAACCTCCTCTGTTTCCTCTAACTCCTCTTATACAGTAACCATATTCACATTAGGATCACTGATTAGGCACTGGACGTCCTCTAGTAACCGAGGATTAACAGGATCCATAGTATCAACTACCCTCTGCTCTTCAACCATGATTGGGTCTCCTAGTGTGTCTGGTGGAGATGTATGTTCCACAGGTTGGCTACATACAGTTTCATCAGATTCACCAATCTTGTTCTTCCCTTTAGCCTTCACAAGTGTCCATTCATCATCAGGTTAATGGTTTGTTTCCTTATGAATTTGGACCAATTTCTCTACCTGAGCAGCCACACAATTCTTGGTATTATGGCCAAAGACTTTACAGTGTTTGCACTTGTTGGGATCCCCTGATATTCTACTTTGATTTCAACTACTTCCTCCTCACATCTAACAAAGAAATGTTGTGGCAACTCAGAGTCTACATTAATTTCTAAACATACCCTAGCAAAAGAAATCCTATTACTAGAGGAGGTCAGATAATCCATAAACAGTGGCACACCTATCTTACTAGCAATTCTACTCAATCCCTTATCATCCCAATATTCCATGGGGACATTGAACAGTTTAACCCAGATAGGAATCTAAGATACTTGTTACTTAGTTAATCTCAACATTCTCTTCCATTTCTTGAGTATAAGAAGTTGGCTGCCCATATACCACGACCCTCCTTCTAATACTTTGCTACAAGAGTCAGAATTTTCAAAGAAGAAGAACATAAAGCCCTCTCCATTAGCTTGAACATCCTTGAGACCCATATTTTTTCACAAATTATGAGCACTATTCCTTATATAATTGTAAGGGAGCATTTTATCCAAAAAATACCCCACCAAATAGGCCTCCCATTTTTCCAAACCCACCTCACGAATAGGTAATTCAACAACATTTGGATTATCGATTTTTGTAGGAGGGATATACCTTAATTTGACAGAAGATCTACTAGGTATGTTAGTTACCTCAACCCAAGTCTTGGGTGTATGGTCTGGAGTTGTTGCAGATAGATCAAAGGGAGACCGATGGGTAGACGTGCCACCACGGCCCCCTCTACCACGACCCCTCGATACGCACCAAATCCTCGCCCTGCTTCATAAGATTATGTGGAAGGATCATTTTGAGGTTGGTTCCCAATATCGTTGATCCTCTGAACTAGAATCTCATTTTGGCCATTTGTAGACGTCCCCCGAACGCCCCCGGGAGGAACGAGTCCCCCGTTCCGTTCGATATTGGGCTCACTACAGTTCGGACTCTCAATTTGTCACGGTTCTAAATCTGAACCAAAGAGTCCAAATCCGGCAAATCGTTTTGAGAAAACAGATTTTGAAAAAAGTGCCAAACATGGACTACTTTGCCAGATACAGAGTCGCCACCTAAATATTTTATTTTGGAAAATTTAGGAAACCCTGACTCGTTGCCTAAGGCCACGTGTCCGTCATCACCAAAGTTGCCTCGGCTCGGGAACTTGGGTACGATTGGGGAAGGTCACTTCGTGAGCACCCCCGCTCGCCCGATCAAAGATCGGCCTCTACTAACCATGATATCTATTTTTGAAAACATTATGCGTTCTTATTCCGTTTATTAGCCTAGATTTACTATGTGATGCGCACAGTATACAAGTATAGACTGGGTCGCCTGAATTGGAACAAAACATTTCATGTTTGTTTGTTTGAAAATGGTTTGATGGTGCTACTCGCAAGTAGGCTAAGAAGTGGATTTGCCACCCTCGGGTGGACGTAGAAAACATGATTTTGCCACTATCAAGTGGGCTTAAAACTCACAATTAATGAATTGTTCCAATTCAAATAACCTAACCTTCACCCACAGGCATTCAGGCAGTTTATATCACATAAGCACTTAGCCTCATGGTAAGCATGCTATCATGGCAGTCACTCACATGCATGCAAGGATGCTAAAGCATAAAACTTACCGAGTACTCCAAGCCAAAACAGAAGCTGATTAGAAATCCATGCATGATCCAAATTTATACAGAAATGCCTAATGCAACACATGCAAAAGTGCAACTATAGCAGGCTCAGCTATTCAAGACATGGCATATGAAATGCTACAGCTAACATGTATTCAACTTGGAATTGAAAATTCAATGCAGTTAGTATGATGCGCCGAACCTGGTGCATGCAAGACAGATGAATGAATGCAAACATGCTATCATACTATATGCTAATTGAAACGTTCCCTAATCTAACCATCATAAGTGGGTAAATAAAAGGGAGAAAGATGTGGGGTTGGAAGACATACATCACACACACGCACACTTATTACAGTTGTGCCCTCGCTCGGAGGGTCCGAATAAATGATATACAGTCCCAAATAAATAATACAGTCCGAATGAATACAGAATTCTAATTGATTAACAAATTAAACTAAGAAAGCTGTAAACTAGCATGCAAGCTAGGGACTGCCTCGACTCCGCTCCGGATGATGAATGGTGCATGCTCACGTTGCTTGGCACAGAAATCCACTACGATGCCCCAATTAGCCTCTGTTTGCGATTGATGCCGGAATGCTGTGCAAGACTTTTGAAAGGCTACTGATTCTTGATTTGCTGCAACAGAGAGCAGGAAAAGGGCATGGCAATATATCTTCACAAATGTATGCATGCCTCGATCCTCGTGCCACCAATCACGCATCTCGATGCATGATGGCCAAGGAGTCGAATTGTGCAACTCAATATAGAATGAATGCATATGAAAACACAACAAGACCTAACTCCATCATGGGCAATCCAGAGTGTCGGTGATAGGGAATTGAGACACGTTTCGTCACTCAAAGTACGAAACGTCCCTCGTTTCCCGTGCTCGGGCTAACTCCTATCCCGAGTACGATGCAATATGCATGATATGCATGAAATGCAACTAAGATACAACCTAACATACACAATGCTATGAAATGGCATACACGATGCACGAGATAACATGGCATACACAATGCGCTAACATACAACCTAGCAATGAGAATGCTATAAAATAAAA